TTTTATTAACAAGTGCCTGTGCGTTAATCAATAACAAGCCATGCGTGACAACAATAAATTCACTTGATCCCTGTCAACGAGGTTAACAATCAGGAAAAAGAAGAAGGGGCATTTAAGTAATTAACAAAAATATTTCCAGATTGAGCCTTTCAGTTTGCAGTGGAATTTCAGAATCTTAAAGTGCTCAATTGGAATAAAATTTTGAGAGGCTTAGATGAAATTCTCCCTTAGATGTAAATGTTATTTGCACTTTCCTATTAAAAGAAAGAAATAATGCAATTTGGAATGTGACAGAGATCAAACTAAGATTCAAGTCAATAATAAAATTTGAATGAAAACATCAAAATTCAAATACCTAATCTAGTATAGTAACTTGATGTTATGGTTTTTCAATTTTCTATAATTCCCAAAAAAAAAATTTTAAACGCATGAATTTTATATGCAGTATTTTAAATCTGAAATTCTCTTAAAAGTATATTTGAAATGGAAGAGACAGTGATGCACACAAACATTTTCCAAGTTCCTAATTCCAGGAAATTCAAAATATATATGTAAGAGGAGATCGGGGAGGAAAGATAGAGGGAAAAGATCTAAATCTGTTTCACATTCCTTTCCCCCAAAATCACTTAACCTTAAATTTAAAGCTTAAAAAACCAGTTTAGCTTATCCATGACAAGTTAATCCAACTTTGCATACGTTTACTGCCACTAAAAAGAAAAAATCAGGTCATTGGGTTATACATATTACTGAAACTTGTAAAATTTTTAAGTAAAAAATCTTCAATAATCCATCATAAAATGAAGAATGTTTATTGCAACTTACAAATTACTCTACTTTTTAACAAGTAGCGAGTCTTGGAAATAAATCACTTAAGGTCTGCTTTCTGCTTTCTCATTGGCAATTTAGGTATTTGGTCCGTAGCTAGAATAAACTGATTGCTTAGGGCATTTTATAATGTTTTTGGCCTGATAAGAGAACTATACCCATCTGAAAATCAGGCCATATTGCAAACAAAGAATTACAGGCTACACACACACATACACACATAAATAAAAAACTAGTCTTACCACTACCTGCTTCATAGCCTCCTCCTCATCATCTTCTTGTCTTATTTCTGAATCTAAAGAAGATGCATCCCTCAACGTTGGACATGCCTCCACAAACCGTTCATCCAATTGCCACTTCACACGATAATTTTGTGGGCAAATGCCGATGATGTTTCGCAAGTTAATGAGCTTGAGTTTCTTCATAATTGGTAGCTCAATGATCATCTGGTTCTGATTTTGATCTTTTTCATGATTGTCTTCGCCAAATACATATTGCAACTTAGCAGCATCTTCTATTTCGAGACTCTCCAGTCGCAGAAGGCCACTAGCAAGAGAGATCGGCATTATGCATTCAAGATTTTCACAACTTTTTACCCTGACTTGGTTCAACTTTGGGAGCACTGACCCTACTGAAATATCTTCATCTTTTTCGACTGTAACCATATTCCTCAGGTCACCACAACCTATCACTTCCAGCTCTTCTAACATCACCATTTTTTGAGCACAGGTAGCTGTGAAGAGAGATGCCAATTGGCTACAATTTGTTATAAACATCTTCTGTAATTTCTCAAAAGGCCAGAAGGAGGTGGACCATGGCATAAGGCTTCCAAGCATTTCATGGCTTCCACTTTCAAACACCTGCAACTTGGAGAAGATGATTCTAGCTTGATATGATTGATCATTTGTGGTGTCAATCAGCCATTTTATGCAATCAGAATCACGAAGTACAAATTCTTTTAACTCATCCAAACATTCACCCCGTGTTGGGAATATGTCAGGAACGATGCTTGTACAATTCCCCCGAAATTTTTCAAAGCAAAGAACCTCAAGTGTCTGGGGCAATGCCTTGACTACTGCATTTGGATAGAGGCATCAAAAATTATTTACGGATATGAGTTTAGACAACGAATAATCATCCTTGGAAGTATTTATGGAGCCTCCAATTTCTAAATGATACCTTTGGAGGACCTTAAAGGAGCCAATTCGGTGAAAAAATTCAGCAACATTTTGATCTGCCTGCACCATATCTGGAAGATGATTTTCAACGAAATACAGCTCCTCCAGTTGGGAACATCTGGTAAGCACCTTATAAGGATTCCCTCCTATTTTGCAATGTGACACTTCCAATAATCTTAATGCCTCTAGATTTGCTAATTCTTCAGGAAGCCCTTTTATTTCACAATATGATAGCTCAACAGTGTGAAGCATCTCTAATTTTTGGTGAACAGAGATATCAATTAATGTCCATCCTCTCAAACAAAGAGTTCGAAGCATTTTTAGTCTGTCAATTGATCCAGGTAGCAGTAGAACTGGGTTCATCCCAATGGATGTATTTTTGATGGCGAGCACTTTGAGCTTTACCATCCCTTTGAAACAAGCATCTAGGAATTCTGTTGAGCATCCATTATCATTGGACACTAGTAGTATCTCAAGTTCAGGACAATTCAACTGATCTGGCATTACATATATATTACGGCCATATAATCTGGTTGTATCTTTCATATAATATTCCTTTGTTAGATCCTCTAGACTTTGTCTGGGACCCATAATCACTTGAACTTTGTTCTTCGCTTCCCATAAGGCTAAGGCACGCAACATGTAATGCATTTTAACACACTGCCCTTCATCATGTAGCAGCAAACTGTGTCTTTTGAATTTATCAATGACTGTTGGCACTTTCGACCTTGCTCTTTCATATGACTTGACATCCAGAAATATGCCTAACCCAAATGCAAATCTGATGAGATCTTCAATGGCAATCTCTGAATTGTTAGGGAACAGAGTACATAATGAATAAAGTGATACCTCTTCTGCACCTTCCAACTCATCAATACTACATTTTAGACATGTATAAGGATTATCCGGTCCTTTTTCAATATCTAGTGGCCGCCTACGATCTTTCAATGTCGCGAATGCTTCTTTCCACTCATGAAGTTCTTTAGTCCTCAAAGTACTAGCCACAGCTTTAATTGCAACAGGTAATCTGTCACATTCATGAGTGATCTCTTGAGCCACTTGTAGGAATGAATCTTCTACTTTACCAGCATGCATTTGAAACAGTTTCCAGGCATCCTCGTTCGTTAAAAGTGGCAGCGGAATCACTGCATCTTTATCAAATTTCATCATGTCAAATATACGTCTATTCCGAGAACCCAGAAGAACCTTGCATTTCTCACCGACAGGAACTCCTATGGCTTCTAAGTGAAGCACATCCCACACTTCATCCAGGATTATAAGATACTTACTTTCATCATCCATTGCATCAAATGCCATACGCAGTCTTGCAGCTCTATCTTGTACATTTCGCTCTGTCGGCCCAAATTCCAGGCCCATCCGGCTTACAACGCTGTCTTGAATAGCTAGATAATTTGGAGGATTGGACACAGTAGCAAATGCCGTCTTGTAAGGTGTGGAGTCTTCAACTTCCTTCTGCAGTTTTTTTAACAAGGACGACTTACCACAACCCCCCATTCCCCAAAGCCCTATTTATCTTCTTCTTATTTCTTTCTCACTGCCTTTAAGATTTCTTTGCCAGCCTCTTCTGTGCATTTGAAAGGAATAAATTCTTCTGATGGGCCCATGGGTCGAAGTGATAGACGACGTGATAATAGCTTTGGCCCCAAATTTGTCATGGAGCGTCTTCAATGCTTCCTTGTTCTTCTTTGCTTTCTTGGCTACAGTGTATCGACCTATCCAGTTAGGGCAAGCCCCATTGCAACAGTCCTGGCTTGCTTCTGCTTCCCCTTTCAGCTTCTCCGATTCGGCTATGAGAACTTTTGCGTCCTTCACCTGCTCCTTAAGGTAATCCGAAGGCTCTTTAGTGTTGACTCTGTCTTTACTAAATTGGGCTTCCATGCCAGCTCTGGTTGACTCTAATTTCTGTTGTCCAACATCCATGTCTGTAACAATCTCATTGAATTCATAACAATAAAGAGCTTCTCGTCCTATTGCTGTCACCACGCACTTGCTGCAACATTCGCCCCCCAAACTGACTCCAAAGTCGGCCATTGAAACTGATCTGACCTGAATAAGAGAGTGTAGAAAAGTAAGTCATTCATGCAAATAGCAAGGCAAGTGCAATAGATGAATATGTAGTCATCAAATTTCAAAAGCGTTTCAAGTTGAAAGAGGCCACCGTACATATTGAAGATGCACGTGTCTAGCATTTTTCTCTTTATTGTATAATTATTGTTTTAGAATTTGATTTATTGACATAAATATTACGGTATCATATTCCCAACACATAAGTACTCTCTTTAGACATTATTATAGGAGGTTTGTTTACTCTCTCAAACAAGTTCTGATAGTAATGACTAGAGGGAGTGTCTCATAAATCATAATGATTAGTTACGTTTGCATTGTGTTTCAGCACGATTATCTTTATATGTAATTTATTGTTATTAATTTCACATTCACATTTAAAGAAAAAGAGCGAAGGCCGGAGTTAATGGGAGAGGTTCAAACCAAAATTCTAGAAGTCACAATCCTATTAAATTGAAATGAGAAGCCAGAAATTCATTCAAATCTTTAATGTACCTTTGAAATAAGAAATCGTTTACCTATTTTGAGGGATCCCCCACCCCTCAAGAGGGAAGAGGGAGGATAGCGAAAATCAACATCTATTGTACGTAGAAGCTTACGCATAATCTAAAATCTCAAGTACTAAAATTACATGGTACTGTTGGAGGGGAGAGGATTCTCTTCTCTTCCTTCCCATTCTCTTTCCTTCCTTTTCTCAATTTCTAACCATTAGATTAAAATTTTGGATAATTCAAATTTGATCTCTTTTAAAATATTTTATTTTACTACTTTACTTTTATTGTATTTTTAATGTTTTTCTTAAATTTTAGTCATTTGAATTTTATCATTTACATTTTTATTAATTTAATAATTTGACAATTTTTAAGAGATCAAATCTGAATAGTTCAAATCTAGATCTAATGGCTAACAAGAAAAAAGAATGAAAAAGATGGAAAAGAAGAGGAGAGAATCTATACCTTTCTTGGAGCACCCAAAAATTTCTATTGATTCGATCCTTATAAATATGGATCCTCTCCACTATTCAAACTTATTTAGATACATCTTGGAAGTAGTATCCTTCCTTTCTTCTTATTGATCAATCACAACGTAACCCTCTTCTACTTTGTAAGCAGCTGCTTCATGCTTGCAACACCACATGGTCCTTGAAATTGCGTATGCTGCATCCACATTGCCTCAAAATATGATTTGGTTGAAAAGCAAAATAACAAGGGGTGATGACTGATGATTAGAATATATTCGAACTTTGATCAATCATGTCAAAAAAATCTTGCTACCACTTGTCATTACATACACCCTAGTCAAGCAGATCTCATATATGCCTACTAATGAAGTCGGTAATTTGGAAATGAGCTTGACGGATTAAATTGAACCCGCTTGAAATATTTAGGGTCTAGCTTTAAAAAGTTAGGGTTTTTTTATGTTTAAACCTATTCGAGCTACCCAAATAGGGCTAAAGAAATTCGGGCCAAGCCCAATTGGGTTCAGACTTGGCCCGAATACCCAAATAAAAAAATTTATTTTTAAAAATATATAAAATATAATAAATATTAATTAATTTTTAAGTTTTGAGTCATTCTATCTATGCTAAGATATCATATTTGAGTCCTATACATCATTTAAGTATCAAAAATATATATTTTATATTTTTTATAAAATAAAATAATTAATTTTAAAGTTAAAAATTAATTAAAAATGATTTTTAAAATAAAATTCGGATATTTGGGCATCCCAAAGCCTGAAGGAGTTCTAGTTGGGCTTAATTATTCGAGCTTTTTTGAGAATCGGGCCTATTTAGGTTTGGACCTATTTGGGTTGGGCTTATTCGAATCAACCTACTTAAATTTTTAGTTATACCTACTATTTTCCCTGCCGCTTTTAATTCTCCATATGTAAATGGTTCTTTCTGCTTCTATTTACACTAACCCGCAAAAATGGATCTAATCTTTAAAAGGATTGCATCTATGCAAGTTAGGTTTAATACCTTTGCTCTACTATAAAGGAGATGCAATATAATTGAAAGCATCCATCATTTATATCTATTCATAGTACTCGATGACAGCTTAATTATCCCACATTGTTTCCTTCCTACCTTGTAAGGCATTACATTTCACCATTCAAAATCCTACTCTTAACTGTATGTTGAGGAACTAATCCGTCTCAAGTTTACTCCTCAAATTATTCTCCTACCAATATATCCCAATACCACCACAAATCATATAGGTTCAATATAAATGAGATGTTTCATTATTCAAGTAGTTTTTCTTTTGCTTGATCAAGGTTTAATGAATGCAACCAGATTTGGTTTATTCTCCCTCAACAGATCATTGCACGCTAGTGCAAACTTGTTACTTGCTACTTCCCAAAAATTGTAGCACTAAAGGAATAGCCTGCTTATTTACTCATGTTTACCTCTAGGACCAAGTATTCCTCCTGGCCTAAATCCACATTCATGTCCATGCACAAATCATTGAATAGAAAAATCATCCATTTTGATTTCTAAATAGAAAAATATATTTCTACTCTACTCGATTGTTTGGTTTTAAAATAGAAAAATATGAAAATATATTTGTCCAACATGATTTTGAAATATTTTTATGGTGCTAATTTTACTAAACATAAGGCAAAATATATCTTGATATAAGGGTATAGCATCATTGTAAACTTCATTTATTTTATTTTCTGCATGTTTTTCCTGCCAAACACAAGAAAGGATAACATTGGAGCTATTTGAAACTGTTTTTATTCTATTATTCTGAGAACTAGTGTTTTGTAAAACATGTTTTGAGAACAAAAAAAATATTTTTCTTATTTTTCTGTTTTTTAAAATAATATTTTAGTTTTTATTCTTTAAAATACTTTTTAAAAATATGTTATCAAATAATTTTTTTTTGTTCTTTTATTCTAAAAAATAGAAAAATATTTCCATAACATATTACCAAACAGGTCCATTATTTCTCCAATTTTATTTTCTCTCTCTTCTCTTTCCTCCTAACTTTTCTTCCCATCCCAATAAAGTAGTATAGTTAGCTAGGGATATTAGGTGAAAAAATTAATGCTTAAATAGAACATGTTATATTATAAAATATGTTGGAGATACTTGTAATTAATAAGGACTGGAGGAAGTGTTTCGCATGTAAATTTTAATATTGGACTTGTAAATCTCAAATGTTTGATATGTAAATATGATTATTAAAATTTATTAAATTAATAGCTTTCTTTGATCCACAGTTACCGGTCAACACTCCAATCAAATAAGGTAAGTCTAAAGGTATTTGTGTTATTTTATTGTTAGAAATTAGTTACCACTAAACCAATCCTAAAGAATTTGAGAATGTTTTATTCAAATTCCACAATTCATAATTTTCTTAAATTCTTATTCTGTTTTACCGCCCCCTCCCTTCCAAAATTCGGGAGGGCAAATAATAAATTATAATTTTGTCATGCAAGGATTAAATGCCTATTTTTTTTTTAATTTTCCAAACTGTCCAAACAAACAAATCACCGTATCCAGATCCCTCATGGATCATTCAACAAGACAGACTTAGGTCCAAGAGTATCACCTCATTTGTGCTATGCAAACTCTCCATTGGTCACGTCTCTCGGCTACCGCGAGCGGAGGAATGTGCAAATCTATCCTTTAACTATTTGGGAGGCGTGATTGGTACATTTTAAAAGGCACTGGAAAAAGAAGAAGAAGAAGAAGGCACAATGTCTCTTAATTTATTTTAAAGAGTAAAAATGTCTTGAATTTTTTATCCCTAAAAATGACTAGTATTCTAAACTTTTTTTAAAACTTTCAGGTACAATATTACCCTTTCCTTAAATATGAAAAAAAGTTATAGTTAACATGATGAAGAGTATTATAATATCTTTCATTCTCCTTCTTCTACATTTTCCTCTATTTGCAACTTCCTAGCTTATTCTTATCTCCCATGTCTCTCTGAGTTCTATCTTCCACTTATGTTTTGTTTGGATGGGGGGAGAATATGAGAGGAAAAAAATGTGAGAAGAAAATAAAAAAAATAACTTTTTTCTTGTTTGGATGAAAAAGAAAAAGTGAAAGGAAGGAAGAATATAGGAGAAAATTGGGTGTGAGAGTCACCATATTTTCTCTTCACAAATGTAAAGATTTTGAGAGGAAAATATTTATTTCACATATGCCCTTTTGCTTCTTCACACATGAGTATTTGCTTCATCATCTTTTACCCTTTATTTTTTTGCCTCATGACCTCAATGTTCTGATTTACATTATATTTGCTATAATAATTTATTTACTACACTATAATAAGTGATACTAACTATTATAAAAATAATTTAATACTGATTCACATAATTTTTATGATGGTAAAAGTCTTTAGCTTAAAAATTAAAGACCTCGCATTACTTTGTCTTAGTGTTGTGCATGTCTCCATCTTCTTTGTAAACTGCAT